CTGCAACGGACTATACCAAAGACTCACTAAATTCCACATATACAGTCCTCTCCCAGGTCTCTTCAATCTTTCATGAACTGCCTTGTAGCCGAAAGGTGGGGGAATAAGAACAATGGGCTTTGAACTTGGATACATTATTTTTCAAAGAATCACAGACTAATTCAGGCTGGAAGGGACCTCCAGAGGTCTCTAGTCTAATGTTCCGCCCAAAGCAGGGTCAGCCTTAAGATCAGACCAGGTTGCTTGGGGTTTATCCAGTCAGGTCTTGAAAACCTCTAAGGATGAAGACTGCATGACCTCTCCACTTCTGAACCTAGAAATCTGCTTCTACCCCACTTAGTAATGCCAGAAAGAAACATTGATGGAAGTGGTAATTAAAACTGCAGATAATTGAACCTCAGTGCTTTACAATCATTGTGAGCTTTCCCAGTGAGTTCAGGGGACTCTGACTGGCATATGCAGTGAACATGAGTCAAGCCACGCTCATGGTTTTCCTCCATGCAGAGGGAATATCTTCAAGTACTGGATGCCCACTTGGCCTAGATATTACAGAAGATACAAATAGATTATTAATCATTCTTTCCTACCTGGAAATTATATGCAGCACCTTCTTACTCTCTTTCACCCTTCAGGCAGTTTTAGTTTGACATTTGTAGCTAAGGCAATTGAATAAAGCTAGAAATGGTTTCACAGACTATCAACAAGTGGCAATTAAACGGTGACTCTTCCAACTTTTTTCTCATTTGTCCACACCTTTGAGTTTCTTGGACCACCTGTTATATTAGTTATGCCTGGTCCTGTCACTGAGCAAAGACTTTGAAAGTTTCTCTACTCCCATTTCTATGTTGCTCTGATTTTTCTGTGTACAGAAAGAGTTGGAGTAGCACTGGTACAGACTGAGAAAGTTGTGTTTTGAAATCAGTGTCAAGGACACTGCTACAGCTCTGCTGGTCATTGCTTGGTGAATGGTTAGAAGGCAGCCCAAGGCTCTTCTGAATCCAAACTGTGATTGAGTTTGCTCCTTGCAAAAGTCCTTAAATTTCTCTTATGAGCTGTTTCAAGATACTTGGATTATGGAATAAGTGTTTCAATTCATTCTCTTAGCTAGGAATATGCATAACAGGAAAACCCTGAAGCTAAGGTGCTGAATTTCACACCCTGTTGCTTGAACATGCTTGCTAAGGGGAAAAATATTTTCTGAAAAATTGATGTGTAGTCAAAACAGAATTTCACTGACTTAACAGGTTTGAATTTAAACTGCTTAACTAAAAAGTTTTTATCTTTTAAACCCACCTTCCTACATAAAGACTGGTTTTACTATTTTTAGTAAATTTAGCTAGAGTATTTATTTAAAGGAAATAGCTGTCTTTTGTATAAAAGATCCTGGAAGACCTCCATTCTGAATACATCCAGTAACTTTAACTGCAGTGCTCCTAGACCTGCCAAGTCTTCCCATTGACTGTTGAAACCTCCCTGCCCTGTATCCAGCAAGCAGTGGTCAGTGCAAGGGCAGAGCAGTGGCCTCACTCCTCTGCAGTCCATGGAGCTTTCAAGAAGCTTCCTCTGGAGAGGAGAGCTTTTAGTGCCATGCTGCAAACTGAGAATAACCACATAACAGAGTGCTGCTGGAAGGCACTCTTCATGGTGACCTCACACTTTGCTTTCTCACCTGCCACATGAATCTGTGTCATGTGTGTCTCCAGGTATGTCATCCCAAAACAGCAGCACCTTACTTAAGAAACTTGTTCGCCTTCTGGCTTAAGTTATCCCATGGATTTACTTGCTGTAAAAGCAGTTTAAAATAGCCTGTTTTGAGATTTGAGGCACCAGCGGGGTTAGCTCAGTTGGTTAGAGCATGGTGCTAATAACGCCAAGGTCACATGTTCAATCCCTGCTCACTGCAGGGGGGTTGGGCTCGATGATCTCTCAAGGTCCCTTCCAACCCAAAGCATTCTATGATTCTATGATTATGAGTCCATCAAGTTGCCTCAGGGACTGAGGGGTTTGGCTGCTCTGTGCAAGGGTACACCCTGTTGTACCTGCCCCCACCTACAGTCCTGCCTCTGAGCCAAATGAGAAAAGTCAGCAGAGCCCACAGTGGGGAAGATCCCTTAGGTAGGAAAGGCTTTATGGTCTGTGTGCATCTGTATCAAGTATCAGCCACAGCCTGAATTAGTCACAGAAAGATAAGCACGGATCTAATTTTAGCACTCAACTTTCTGAACATTACAGATGCAACTGCATGAAGGATATATTTGATGATACATACAGTTGTCAAGTGGATTTGTCAATGTCTTTTCTGATGGCAATAAGTATGTATAGTCTATTTAATGGTGCAACACCACAGCGGATATTCCAATTGTTTAAACTCATCTTCTTTAAAAAAAAAAAAAAAGATAGAAAAGGCAGAGTCTTGTAATGAGCAATTCCTGGGTGCTGCATTGTTATACACATGGCAGTAGCTCATAAAGCTGAATTTCTCCTTTTGATCAGTTTTATTCTTAGTGAAGTAGTAATGATTGTACCACTCTAATTCTTAATTTTTATTTTCTTAAACTGGGGAAAACAGTCTGGAGTAATGTTGAATGTATCACAGATTTTAGGAAGCCACAGAAAGGCCCTAGTGTTCTTGGGTGTGACCCCAATCTTTTTACCCACATGAGAAGTGAGAGTCAGATTATGCTTGTTAAACTTTGTGAAGACAAAGTTTAAAATATATAATTCAACAGTCAAAACTATGATGTGCTTATTTCCATTGAAAGTCATAGCTGTATTTTCAAGTCATGGATCAACCACAAAAACTATTCGACATGAAATCACAATTCCAACTCTTACCAGAAAACAGTTATCAAAACCAAGAGATTGTTTTGTTACTAGCAAATATATTTGATAACAGCTGAACAGTAGCTCTTCCAAAAACTGACTCATCAATTGAGAGACTAGATATAACATTACCTATAAAAATGTATAGAATTTCATATGATAATTAACCAAAGAGAAGTTTTATAATATAAGCAAAGATTTAATCCTACAGTTCACCTGTAACTCACAACTTCACCCATATGAAACCAGGGGAAGGAGAGTTTTTGATATGGCAAATGATATGACAAGTGACTACAGGGGAAAGGGAAGAGACTAAGTCAGAGTTTGGAGGTTTGTGGGTGACATGGGCTCTAGGAGAGATTTCCCCTTACATTACACATATAACCAGAACTGCTGCTGAATCAGGCAATTATAGATAGCCTGTAAGTTTTGTAGAAGAAATACAGTATTTCACACTGAAATACTGGTATAATTTTAAATTTCCATTCCAGATGGTAATTCATAGTGAGATTCTTTTCCTTACAGACACATACACATCCTACATTATTTCCAAATGTGCAGGGAATGATTCAAAGTAATTTCTTATTTATCCTACGTTTTCCCAGCTGCTGCTACACAAATTGTAAACATAATCTTAGTGTACTTCATAATTTCATATGATTCTCAGGAAAGGCCAGAAAGTGTGGAATTTAGAATACTAAGCTGTAAACTTCCTTCTTTTGTCAATAAAGGTGTTGAGTTTGCGTGATGACTGAGCTCATATCATGCAAGCAATATATATTTTATAATTGCTATTTGTATCTTAGTCCTGTATGATGTTTCCTTTAGAAGTCATTCTCTAATTTAAAAAAAAAAAGAAGAAAGGAAGAAAAAGGTGTTCTGGTGTAATACATCATCCCTTTGCAATATTTCTTTTTTTTCCTTATTTCATTTATGGACACACTGGACAAAAATTGTTAGTGAAATCTAAGTATGTATTAATACATATTTCAGTCAGGATAGAATTTTCTAAGAAATGGTTAAATTGGAATAATCAAGTCATCCCTTGGCTAAAAAAATTACACAGGTGGAAGTTCTTTGGACTTCATTTGCAGACTCATTTGACAGCTTATTTTGACAGTTTACGGTGCCTTCTCTTTTGAGAGCAGTGGAAAATTCAGCCCAAGGGGTAAATGTTTCGCTCAAGGTGGACTGATGCATCTCCCACTCTGTCAACACCACACCAAGAACACAGCTTCAAAGTTACATGAAGCGCTAGTTGCCAGTGAAACGGCAGTGCCACACAACGCTTCCACATCACGCTCACCAAGATGCAGGGTGAACCGAACCAGGGGCCTATCCAGGCTGGCAAAGGGAAGAGAGATGAAATCCCCCAGAACAGTTCTGCACCTTGAGCAATGACGCTGGACCGAGAAAGAGGGTGGGCATGCCCAGCAATGGTGGGGAAATGGTGTCTCCATCCCTCTTGCCAGCAGCATGAATGTAGATCAACGTAAAATGATCCTGAAAGTGCAGCTCTCTAGGGCAACGTTGTTCCCTTGTGCTAAGAATGGCATAGTTGAGCTGATGCTTCAGCACATGATAATCTCCATCCTCCCTTTATCCCCGCTCCTTTCCCCAGCATGCTACCTGCCATTACAGACAGCCAAGTGGGGATTTGGAACCTCAAAGGAGAGCTGTAAGGCCAACCCAGTTAGAATAAGATAGCTAGCAGGACTCTAGAATATGTGAGTGGTCATTCATGTGAGCATGGCAAATTAGCAGGGTCTGGCAGAAAGGGTAGATCACCAATGTTTCCAATTAAATGATTTCTTGGGTCTGTCACATGCGGAGTCCCTGAGGCAATTAGGCACCCCCTAAATGCAAATCTTCAAATCTCATTGTTCCCGTTGCTATAAAGAATAACGTACATAATCTTGAAAACCAAATCCGTGTCAATGCTAACCATATGAAAACAAAACCACATGAAATGGAAACGTAGACAGTCTCTTTAGTATGCATGTTTTCTCAGGGTAGTAAAAAGATGTAGATAAAAATAATTTGCCTTTGTGTATGATATCGTTTTCCTTGGTTTTGTAATGATTTAAGTGACTTGGCCCTCATACCCAGATGGGGAAAACAGGTTGCAGGTTTTCTTTAGGTATGAAATGTAATGCATTCCTTTCTTTATTTTACAGGGACATCAAACCTGACAACATACTACTGGATGAGCATGGTAAGTGAATATTGACTGCTTTCTCTCAGATATCTCTAGTTTTTGACATCTCAGTGACATCCTCATGACATGCTTTGTAATCAGCATCAGATGTTGGATTCCTACCTAAATCTGGACTTTCTCTGCAAAGTTCCTCTGTCCACCTTGTGGATTTTGTAATTTCTCCTCTTATTGCAAAAAAAAAATATACGCTGATCTGACACTTGCAAGAGCTGAAAAAGGAGGTGTTTAATATGAATTGAGAACATCAGGGACACCTGATAAAAATAAGTTAGTATTTTATTCTTCACAGGATTACTGTGAATCACTATAATCCCTTTTTAGGGACCTACCAGTAGAACAGTACTAAGCACTTATTTTCTCTTCTAGAACTTCAGAAGAGCTAAGAAATTTCATATAACAAATTATTTCTCATGTATATGTCTGAAATCACTTTCCTAAATTTAGGTATGGTATTTGGAAATTTGCCTCTAAGTCTGCAAAATTTTTATGGCTTTACATGTAGTTCTGGTTTAAATGACATAAAAAAGACTAAACATAATCAGCTTTGAACTTTCTGTACTAATTCCATGATCTCAAACAAAAAAGTTGTTGTATGGAAAAAAAAAAAAAAGCTGATTTCCTTAAAATTAAATTTTACACATATACGCTGTCTATGAAGTATTTTGCTGAAACCTCATGCATCTTTTTGCAACTCTTCATAGCAAGAATGTCAGAAAACACAGGTAAAAGAAGGCATTAACCTGATATGAGAACAGAAATACATACAGGAGGAAAATTAAATGGAAAAAGGAGATGTGTGTTTGCTGCTATGGGAAAGTAGTTTTGTGCTTTGTTCGCCTCAGAAATTGATGAAAAGCAGTTAATCTTTGAGAAAATGTAAGCTTGAAATTATGCCAAAGTTACCATCATCTGTCAAAATCCATTGCAGAGCTGTTGGTATTCAAGTTAAAGTTGATTAAAGAGGTATCGTTGCAAACTGCTGGAGTTTGTCCCTGGGAATATTGAAACCAAAAAAACTAAATAACATTGGAGTTTTAAACCACCTAGAACTTCAGGAATTTAATGTTTCAGACCCATAAGTGTTAGTGTTCCCTAGACACTAATATCAACAAATAAGCATGAAATAGAAATCTCTTGTCTCTAAGTCCTGGGTGAATTCAAGATGTCAAAGACAACATGAAATGACTATGAGTGTGTTAAATCTCTGATTGACAACCTTTCATGTACAGTTGCCCTTATCTCTCCTTGCCCTTCATCAAGGTCACTTACTGCACAAAATCAGCCTCTTGTGAGAGCTTTCCTATGGGGCTCAAGTATGGCAGAGAAGCAGCTACACCAAAGTGAGCCATATGCTGCAAAATGAAATTTTTTTTTGTGATTATAAACTGTTCAGTAACAAAGTTATCTATAGCCAGCTTGGAAATTTTGAGATGGATAGCTTCTTTTCTGCGGAGCAGCAGAATACTGCTCCTTCATAGCACACCTGCAGACAAGTGCTGAAACAACCATGCTTCTCCAGACTTGCAGATAGACCTTGGTTAGCAGAATTAATCAGCTCATCATCTCGGTTCACAGACCTGTTATGTGGTTGGGAGATGTAATTCTCTCACCCTGGGTAAGGGTCCACACACTTCAACTCACTAAATGAGGTGATGTCAGTAGGACAGGTGTCTGTACCGCGCTCGTCACCACAGGCTTCCTTTACAGATAACTGAAAGACATAGACATGGTTTAGATCATCTGACCTATTTCGGGCGTCTGCACTATACATCAGTATCTATTTCTCTGTAGTGACTAATACCTAGAAGTTTTGAATAAACATATAGTTATCCACCTTATAGATGTAAGTTTTGCAAAATGAATGCTGTCCTTGAAGTCCATAAAAGCTTTGATTAAGCTGCAACATAGTAACATCATTTTTATGGAATCATCAGATTTCACTTAATGGAAAAATTTGCTAAATATATGCACCATAAATATCCTTGGCTGTAGAGGAAGCATAACAAATTCACCTAATATGAGTCTAACTAGGTGCACAGGAAGGAATTTTATTTTAGTCTGTGGCCTCTAAGATGGCACAACAGTTTCCTAAACGCTTGACTTCACCCCTAGGTCTTTCTTACATTAAACAAACTGTGCTTACACAAAGTATTATGGAATTGCATACACACAACATTTAGGACTGAGATTTTTTCTCAGTTAGATTTCTTTGACCTCACTGAAGAAACCTGTTTTGGTTGAAGTCGAAGTGAAGTGTTATGCCCTTCACATTGCCTTACATCTTCAAGCAGTTAAACTGACTGACTTTTATAACATATACCAACACTGTAGATTATAGATATTTCTCCTCTTTAAAACTAGTTTCACTACAATTTATCTGTATGGCTTAAGAAACATACCTCAGGAATACGGAAGTAGTGAACACAGGAGATTAACCCATAAAAATGATCAATCTAGTTTACAAAGAAAAAAAAACATGAAAAAGTATACAACATATTCAAAATCATTCTGGCAGAGGAAGCCTGAATTTTCCTATATACTTTTCAGCAAAGCCACATCTCAACACTGCTGAGCATAGGTTCTGATGCATCAATGGAAATAAATGTTTGATGACCACAAGAAGCGTAATGCTACATGAGAATGGGGTAACCAGCTTGCTTAAAATGGTGTTCAGCCCCTACCAAAAGGTGATTGCCTGGTCTCCTGGAGAGATTCTCCATCCCATAGGGGAGTCTCATCTGAGGAGAGAAAGTAGGGATGTTTTCAGGTTTCAATCTCTGAACAGGAATCAAACCTCTCTAAGGAAATGAATGCTGTCCATAAAGCTCTCATTACATTTCCCTCTCAGCTTTCCCAGAAAGCTCTTCCTCTTACAACTAACACTAATCTCTAAATTTAGTAGTAGTCCTCTGTGCTGCTAACATGCACCTGAAAGAGAATTATTCCACTGATAGCTGAAAGGACTACTTGATGGTTCAGGAGAGCTATTATTATTGTATTGTACAGAGAAAAACATAAGCATAAGCTCGTAATAACAGTATTCTGCTTCCTGTACTATTCCTTTTGTTTTAATGGTTTAGAACAATATGACTGAAATAATAGTGTTTAGAACTGAAAGCTGGCAAGCCTTGTCCATGTTGTATTTTTTTCTGAAATATCAAGGAAATTAAAGATGCCTCTAAACCTTTCCATGACCTGTTAGCTATGATGACTAAAGAGATGTGGAAGGCCTAAAATAAGAAAAACAAGCAGTGGCAAACAGATTAGTACATTACCTTTTTTCAGAGACAATAACATTATTTCTACAGCTATTTGGTAACACCATTGATATTAACATTTCTGGTCATTCTGCAGAAATTATGAGGCTCTACTTTGGCATCCAGTTTTGCATTGTGCAGAGCGCCCATGCCATTATTACACTCTGTTTACAGGAAATTTGCAAGGGTTTGATTTCCTCTCAGGCAAGTTTTTCAGGACATCATTTCATAAGACCCATCAATGTCCGTGCTTGGTTTACCAAGGAAGAACTCCCTGCTGGGTCAGACCCAGACCTCGGCTGGTATTCCGTCACAGCCAGTAGCAAGAGGAGATACTATTCATGGAGCGTGCCCTTTGCCACTTCTAGTCATTGAATGTTTCAGTGCTCCCTATCACCCACAATTTTTGTATTAGGATATTAGAGTATCTCTGCATATTCCCCTTCAGAATCTGGATGAACCTTTGTCAACGAGTTTGTCTACTGCCTCTTTGAAGCTGTTGCTGATATTGGCCTCTACAACCTCCCGCAGAAACAAGTTGTAGAAGTTCACCCTCCTTCATGAAAGAAAAGTGTTTTCTTTCATCTGATTTGAAACATTCTCCTTTCAAAAAAACATCCTGTACTTCCAGAATTGCAGGATTTGGTAAATAACAGCTTACAGTTACAATCTTCATGATATTCAAAAACTCCTTCAGTGCTCTCCTGTCTCAGCTGAGGAGCCTCAGCCTTTTTAATCTCTCCTTATACAGCACTGCTCCATTCCCTTTGCCCCTCTCTGTTGCCATAGATAGTGTTATGGAGATGCAGGCTTTCAGTTTCAGAGCAGAAGAGCAACCATACTGAATCAAAGACCCATCTATTTGAGTTTCTTATCTCCAAGAGTTGACAAAAAGTGAATGATAGAGCAGGATATAAAACAAGGCAGGTTTTTGTAGTGCTTCCTCCACATACTCACCCAACCTCCAGCCTCAAGCATTTCCTGAGCTGCATATGGTTTCCATGCATTTAATAACTTCCGGTGGTCTTTTCTATGGTCTTTTCTGGTGCTTCCTTGAGTGCTGGGAACTTGTAGCATCCTTAACATATTGTGGCGAAGTGTTCCTTGGCTTAAACATAGATTATGTGAAGACTCACTATCTGTTTATTCACTTTGAAGCTGCTATCTGCTCATCACACTGAATGTCTCCTACTTCTAGTGTTGGAACTGCTTCCTTGTGGTTCTCCATATTGAAATCACAGGCCTAGTATTTCACTCTTAGTCTTAACAGGACTAATTGTATTTTGTTAGGTTTGGGGTTTTTTTTATACTGGATTTTTGCATCTGTTAGTGATAATTTTACTTAGTAATCATTTCTCTTATGAGAGAGCAGGGCAGATTCAAGCTGGCATTTGTATATGCCTCCTTATATATTGTTTATTATGTATTATATTGTTTGATGATCATCAAGGTTTTCCTTAAAACTCTGTTTCCTTCATTACATGAGAATCTCAGCTCTCACTTGAAAACTCACAGCAAAATTGAAAAATGAAGCCAATGAGCAATCCTGGTCTTAAACCCAAAAATAGGATGAAAAAACCCACCCATAAATTCAGCATTTGCAACCCTCATGTTAACTTCTGAACAACAGAGCTGGCAACATTATTACTCTGTACCGATGTCTGGGAGACATAAAGTGTCCACTAAAGATGTACCTGGTGTGACTACATTAGAGCTGGTCCTCATCATACCCACAGACAATTTTCAAGGACTATGTCTCATTTAACCCTCTGATGTTGATTAATAAGATGAGTGTTCCGAGCATAATTCATTCACCTGAAGCTATCTACACTTTGAAAATATATTTGAAACTTTTACATGCCTACATGGCCATTAAACATCCTGCCCTTTTGAAATGCACAGCCTCTCTGAACCTATCTATAGCAGTACAATAAGCTTTCTAACAATCTCCCTGATGATAAGTGGCAGACTGCCAAGTCATGCCAAGTTCACATGGATAGGAGCTTACGTTCTTGTACATAGTACAGATGAACCCAGAGAGATGCTTTTTAAATTGTTCATACGGTTTGACCTTCTGAGGGCAAACCAGATCTGAATTTGCTCCAAAATGTTACTGTGTTGAAATTTCCCATCAGTTCTGACGCATGCTGAGTCCTTGGCATTAACTCCAGTCTGGTATTTCTTCCCTCTGCCCTCACATTCACCCCTTCAGTTTCAGACTCAGAAGTTCAATGAGGTTTGAAGTCATGTACATTTTCCTCTGTTAAATGTCAGTCAGGCAGCCTCAGCCACCTTTCAGGACTTGTTTTAATTGTCATTATGATTTGTTCTCATTTAGCAAAAATTAAATAATAATCCGAACAAAGAACATTTGCTGTTTACCTCAGATACTGGCATTTCAGGCCATGTGGAAGAGTGAGGCATAAAAGCCACACGGCACTTCTGAAGTGCATGCATAAAGCTTCTCAAAGTCATGACTGTTCTGTAGGTATTAACTTACAAATTTTCCCTGTTAAAACTTTAACTGGAAGCTGACTGGAGGAATGCAATTTTTGAAATAATTTCCACTGAGATACTTTCTGCTTACAATGTATGTGTTGGCATACATGAAATCTGTGCAGTCTGGGGTGATTTGAAAAAGCCATTCCGCAGAGAGCCAGAGGAATGTGGTCATTTGCCTTTTCTTCCCTTCTCTCCACCATCATATTAACATATGGGGTGATGCAGCCATGGGGATTAAGCAATGAGCTATTTCCCTATGATACTTGAATTAATTAGGTACTGCTGAATTTGTTGTGCACTGCTCTGCTTCACAGCTCTTAAAAGCTAAACCCAAGTGGCACTGACATACTGCTTAGTTCAATATTGTACCTGGTACCTGAGAAGGGAGCCAGGGTACTGGCTTGGTTTTGGCATTTAGGTGTTCACAATAATATCCAGAAAGGGAGATCAAGTACAAGATGTGAAGCTCAGATGGGAAAAAGTCCCCATGAATTGAAATTTTGGAAACAGTATGAAGTAGCCAGTATCCCAGCATATTTACTGCAGCAATAGCTACCTTTCCTTTTCCTATATGCCACAGTTGCAGTAAAAACATGTATTAGAGGCTGATTAGAAAGACCGCTATAGAAAATCCAGGTCTAACTGTCTCTTGAAATTTTGGAAACAGTATGAAGTAGCCAGTATCCCAGCATATTTACTGCAGCAATAGCTACCTTTCCTTTTCCTATATGCAACAGTTGCAGTAAAAACATGCATTAGAGGCTGATTAGAAAGACTGCTATAGAGAATACGGGTCTAACTGTCTCTTGAAATATGCACACCAGGAATGAAAAACTTATAAAAACACCCCAAGTCACCAGGCTTAAAAGAGTTGAAACCATTCAGTGGTGTGCGTAGGCAGCCAGATCCCTCCAGCCCTCCTCCACTACTGCCAGGCACAAGGGGTTCATTCCCCCCCACCCCCTGCTCTGGCTCAATCCCAGACACAGCATCTCTCCATGCCCCCGGCTCCCACCAAGTGCTGTGTGCAGTCCCTGCGGCAGCGCAGCCATCCACCTGCCTACGGGACACCTTGCTTTCCCTCCGTAGCCAATTAGCAGCCGTCTAAGCAACAGGCAAAGGCTGCCTGCAGGCAGCCCATGGGCCATGGGGTGGCCATGTGATGGGTAGAGCGAGGGTGCAGTTTTTCCAGTGATACCAACGTGGCTCTGCTGTGCCCTGCTATGTATACAGAGCTGCCCATTGCTGCTGTATCGGCAGCAGGATGTGGAAGAACTATGCGGAACTGATCTTCCCAAACCATTCCTTACCTTGCAGAAAGGCGTTTTAACAAAACACATCAACCAGTGTATGCAACACTTCACGTGTGCTATTTTGGTTTTGTTAAATGAGAAGAGATCTAATAAAAGGGAGAGAAAACAATGCACTACAGGAGAGGCAATTTTCATTGCAAATCAACTGTTTGGATCAGTCTGAATGGATATTATGCAGTAGGTATTTTGCAACAGGCTATCATGCTAGCACTCTAATAGGGAACATCACTCATTTAAATGACAGAACTTTATATTTATCTGTCAGAAAAAGAGAAAGTATTAGCCTGCCGAGATCCTTGCAGCTTTTCATTCTATGGCACACATGGAATTGCTTAAAACTACTGCCATGAGGTGGCTTCAACTATCTTTTCCAAGTAGCCTTCTGCCATGGTGTTTTATTATTGCAGAAATAAACTGCAAACATGCTACCCTTTGGCCACCAGGAAGGAGGAATACCACCTTGAAATCCAATGGCAGGCTGGGCGGTGAACACCAGTTGTTGTTATGGCAGCCTAACACCTTCCGCCCCTTATAAAGTAATCACTTTCATCTGCTCACAGTTTGTGTCTGCCATGTGCAGATGTCTTCCTGGGATGGGTGTCTTAGGAGGAAAGCATCAATAAAATGCAAGGAGTTGTTTTGGGAAAACTGCAGAAAGCATGCAAGCCATTTCATCAAAAACTTCTACTGTGTCTCCCATTTGGAGAAATAGCTTTAATTTTGGCAGTGGGATGTGTCTTCTTCCTTTTTCCCTTCAAAAACTGCTCAGATCTGGCTAAATTAGGGGACTTCAAGAATTTCAGTTCACACATTCACAGCTGCAGCCTTGTTAGAGGTTGGCAGATGCATTTTCTGGGGAGTTTGAGCAGGACCTATGTTAGACTACCGGAGCAGCATAATCTTTTGTTGAGACTGCTATTCCTCAGTCAGGCACTGCGGTAACATTCAACATCAGTCATTCGTTACATGGCTTTCATCTGTGGCAGAAAACATGATTAACAACCTCCCTTGCTTAATAACTGCATCATGTCCAAAGCCTGCTCCATTCTGTGGACCGAGTGAGGTTGAGATCTTGAGCAAAAAAAAAAAAAAAAAATCACAGGAACCTGTCATTCAAGAGTCTGGTTCAACACATGATGTATTAACCCTGACCTGCGTGCAGGGCTAAGCCGAGAAAGGGAGTACCTTTCTCTGTACTCTGTCCTCCGCGATGGCATTGCCAGGTGTAATCACAGGCTACAGAACGCCTGCATCACTCCACAGTATAAAACCAGTCCTTAAGATGAAGATGCAAAACCTAACAGCAGACTTATCAAATTAAAAGTCTGCAGGTACATTTTCAGGCTGGATTTGCATTCATTTTACCTGCCTATGGCAAGCCAGGAATAACAACTATTAATTCGCTGTGGTGGAGCAATTTAACCTATGCTTGTTGTAAACTACCCCAGGAAAAAAGTAATGACAGCAGGTTTGGGCCATCCAGCCTGATGAGTTCAGTTTAAATCAGCTGTCTGGCTGGTCAGGCAGCAAGTCCGCGGGCTGGCTTGTGTCACTGTTCTTTCATCTTGCAACCTGCTGTCAAATGAGTGATCATCTGGGACCTGCTGCTGTTACATACACACTCTTCTGCTACCACGGATTAAATTTTATAGTTATTGTACAATACAAATACCCTTTCTCTTCTTGGCTCCCTTTTTGCCCTGAGGAGACTCAGAAAAAGCCAGACCGATGGGAGCCTGAAGTGGACGTGACAGCAGACAGGCATCATGAGTACCTGAGAGTGTGAGGGGCCACTCTAGTTGGAGACAAGGAAAGCTAGATTTCACACATAGCTTTACAAAATTCAGCGTTGTTCCTGCATGTTACTGCTCTAGAAAACAGTTAGTGTCCCTAAAATTCACAGCAGGAGGGGGTTTGGGGTGACCAGCAAAAATGGTTCGGCACTGCAAGCAGACAGTGGAAACAACCATACAGGAAAAGTATTCCATCATTTTGCCGCAAATATGATTTTTCTAGTTATGAGCAACATTTAATAGTAAGTTTCCATGAATTGTTATGAATATTTCCAATTTAATTTCTGTCTATTATCACTTAAATGTTAAACAAAAGGAGGAATATTTGTATGATCTGCTATTTTAACTTCTGTTTTTACTTTGTGTAATCGCAGGACATGTTCATATCACTGACTTCAACATAGCAACCATAGTGAAAGGTTCAGAAAAAGCTTCTTCTATGGCTGGCACAAAACCCTATATGGGTAAGTTTTCAAGTCCATTTTAAAAATGTGAGAAAACACACACATTAATGTTGACTAATAGTACATTGAAAGGATTTTAAGTGTAAAAGTATACAAAAAAATGTGAACAACTTCTTTTTTGACAGTATATATGAGTTAGCAATGGAAAACACTGGAGATGGTGAGATTGAGCAGGAGCTTGGTCTCCACACTGCTTTTAGTCACATTCTGTTTGGTTTTGTGAAGCAAATTCAAGAGAGTTTCAACTGTGTTATTTCTTGCAAACCCCCACATGTGGAGACAAGAATATATGATTATATTTGCACCATTGTGGCTATGATCTAGCAGAGAACATGTAATGTCAGTTTAAAAGTATCTAGGCACATCGCTTAATTGCTTTGCTGTGCTGAGTTCCTCAAAAATGTGTCTGTTAGGGTCCTATGTAACTAGTCCCTTAAGTTCTTGCCCTGTGGCTTTTAGGGGCATTTTGTATGGTTTAATCATGCAATTTAGGCACATAGATAGATTGAAGGTTGGGAGAGTAAAATTCAGTTCACCTGTCCTCACGAGTCTAAATGTTAAGCATAGTGGCTGAGCTAATAATTCAGGCTTCCCCTGGAGCTGAAGGACAGCAGGCATCTCCTGGAGGTCATTTGTCCCACCAAAGTTAGGCGAGCTTCCACGACTAAGAATAGGTGTGATTTGTCCTATTTGTGACTTCCTACACGTCTGCTGTTTTAATGCTGTCTATATACGTAATTGTCATTGCCTTTGGAGATAACTAGCTTGAGACTAAACTTACTTGGGTTCTGGAAAGCAGACTAAGAGAGATGTGTGTGTCCAAGAGACTTTCTCTAGCAGACATGTTCAGAGCATATCTAACACCCATGCACTGGAAAAATACTGGTAAATTACCATATTCTGAAAATGTCATTTGGGGAACCAAAGGCCACTGTGTTACCACAATTCTGCATATTAGCATAGGAGTAAAAGCCTGTCCCCAGGAAATAGGAATTAACACTTATGTTTTTCACAGCACAAAGAGCAATGTACCAGCCTGCAAATGAAGGAGGCAGGTGTCTGCAGGGTGCTTTCGTACCAGCTGTGAGACTGTGTCAGAGCAGTCCCAGGCACTGGAGCAGAGTTGTGTTTTCAGATATGATCTGGTTTGGGCATGAATCAGCTAGCACCCTCCAAAACAATTCCCAGGGAGTTAGAAGGGGCTGGAGCCTATTTCCCCTGAGCAGCTTGGCCATAGCTGTCCTATTTTGGTAGATAATAAGATACAACAACATGTGTGTAGCCACACTGTGCCACTTGGGCTTGTGACTAGTGCATCCACTTGACTCTGTTTAACTTATTCTTATAAATGTACCCAAAACATACCAAGAAACATTTTATGTAGTCCTGACTCAAGTATTTAAGTTACGCAGAGGAATGAGGTTTTAGATTAAAATTTTCTCAGCATTTTGTATTGGTTAGATCTAGCTGAGTGTCTAGTTCGGTGTTGCTACTCAGACAAGATGGCCAACACTGCAGAGGCATCGGATACAGAGCATTAGGAGACCAAGTCTGGGTACTGACCTTCCCCTCGGGGCCAATATGTCATGTTGTACCACATGTTCTCTATTCAGTGTGGTGAAAAGAGAGGGGAAGGGATGCTGCAATCTCCCTTACACCAACAGCTTTAGTTTAAAGAGAACTTGCTTGAGCATTTTTGCCAATATGTAGTGCTTTTATTTATGAAAAAAACCCAAACACACACAAAAACTCAGGAAAAAAGCATTTTTTTCTGTACAAGTACTTTGACCTCCCCCAAAACACACAGACTAGTAGCTGTGCAACTGACGTGTTGTCCTGGTTTTGGCTGGGATAGAGTTAATTTTCTTCCTAGCAGCAGGCATAGTGCTGTGTTTTGGATTTAGTAGAAGAATGTTGATAACACGCTGATGTTTTAGTTGTTGCTGAGTACTGCTTATGCTAGTCAAGGACTTTTTCAGCTTCCCATGCTCTGCCAGGCGCACAAGAAACTGGGAGGGGGCACAGCCAGAATAGTTGATCCAAACTGACCAAAGGGCTATTCCATACCATATGGCATCATGCTCAGTATATAAACTGGGGGGGGGGGGGGGGGGGAGCAGTGATCGCTGCTCGGGAACTGTCTGCCAGGGAGCAGCGATCGCTGCTCGGGAACTGTCTGGGTATCGGTCGGCGGGTGGTGAGCAATTGCATTGTGCATCACTTGCTTCGTGTATCATTATTATTATTATCATTATTATACTGTTACTATTAGCATTACTATTTTACTTTATTTCAATTATTAAACTGTTCTTATCTCAACCCAGGAGTGTTTCTCACTCTTACTCCTCCAATTCTCTCCCCCATCCCATCGGGGTAGGGGGAGTGAGCGAGCGGCTGCGTGGTGCTTACTTGCTGGCTGGGCTAAACCACGACACGTGTGAAACAAATTACATTCACAGGAGTGTCCTTTCATACATGATGACTGAAATGTTAAAAGATTCCAACACTTTTATATGGGAGTTCTGCATTTCTGTGAAAAGTTTATGTCTCAGAGCTCACACATTCTGCTTAAATAGCTGCCTACAATCTTCTAGTAGCCATTGTCATTAGACGTGCAAATTCTTATTACAGAGATTATTCAAAAGTACCCTTGAAGAGTAGCCATTTTGCAGGAGCTCAAACAAATTCAGAATAGACGTTTTCCATGTTTAAATGTGCTGATGACAGCAGACATAACAATAGAGTCTTTTCTGAGATTTAATTTAGTAGTCAATTAAATGACTGTTTTGATGGCCTTACATTTTTAATCTTGAAGCAGTTGCACAATTTTACATTAGAAAGCATAATTATTACGAAAGCAGAATAAAAACTGAGTACTTGCTGAGGGGTCAGTTAGCATTTTAGCATCTGTCTGTCATAGTCTGAATGTGTGTAATGAAGAGATCATCTGGCAGCTAATGATCAGAAGCAGATTAGTTAAAACAGCTGTACAAAAATGTATGTGAGTATTCTTCAAATATTTTGCTGAGAGTTAACAGGAAACTTAGTGTCCTTTGGAGCATCTTTCAGCCCATCTGCACACACAGGTCGCCTGCCACCTTCTTAGTTCATTAGTGTTCTCTGTTGGCAGGCTTTTCTCACAAGAAAAAAAACTGGCTTTTGACAAGCGAAAGCACAAAAATCTGTAGCAAGTGCCAAGTACTATGATTTGGTATTTTAAGGATAAAATTATGAAAAATGACCCTGCCCTTTTGGAATTCCTACCCTCCACCCCCACCCCAAGGAGGAGTAACTTGTTCTTCGTGTAGTTGATGTCTGCCAGGAGACAGTCCAAAGAAGGGAAATGCTGAGATTCATCTTAGAAAAACCTGCCTATTTGATGTGAAGGTGTTCAAGTCCCGTCCATCGTGCCTAAACTCCACTTATGTCCCTTTGCATGGTATTCTCCATTTGCTGGAAAATTATGGATTCCTTGTATTTAGTATGAAAATACTAATCTCCAGGATAGATACATGCCTATAGCCTTATTGTTCTGCAATAATTCATCAGCTTAACATCATGGCAAATAGTTTCTCTGACCTAAGTTCAGAGTGCTGTAGACAGCTGAGCCTCGTTGCCTTCCCAGGGAGCCAAATGAGCTCTTGGACAGTCCAGCAACAGCCCAAGCTGACCCAAGGAAGGAGGTAAACTACAGACCTGGAGTGGAGGGAATGTGGGAGATGGGAACAAGGTTTTAACTTTACACACTGGCAAACTGCTGTCTTGGTTCACTTTGGCTCACAAAGCTGTTCTGTCCCTAAACCCTCCTCCCACATATCAGGTCTCCCCCATATCCAACAATCTCGCAACAAGAAGAAACAGAACAAGAAAAAATGCTATCTTTCCCTTTATGAAGGGGCTATCCATCCATCCACCAGCTTACCTGCTTTGCAGCGTGCCTTCCTCACCTGTGGAAATGCAAAAATACTGCAAAAGCCACAGGTGCAGTCTTTGCCTCTCAGAAAGAGTCAGAAGAGTCACCCTTGCATTTATTTGGAGCTGTAGGAAAGCATGAAAGCTTTTAGAGCTGTAAAAACCCTCTGTTTCAGGTGAAAAGTGACCAGTGAAGATTTTCTGTGGCGCATCCTGGGTATCAATGCTTCAGCAAACCTCAATTATTAAGAGTTTGACAGACTTGGCCAGACACTCATTGGTACTGCTTTTTCCTCTAAGTGCATTGATTTCACTTCCTTTCCTCTTTTAGTTTATACTTTTAATTTTGTGAAGAATCATAGCTTTAGTGAAATGCTACAAAGACTTTTCAGTTGCAGTGCTCAAATTAAAGAAGTTTTGGGTTCATTCCTGATAGCTATTTAAGTCCATATAATTTCTGGCTTTAAGGCTGTATCAAAGACTTTCCATGTGGCTTCGCCTAAGCCATTTAGACAATGGGAAAAATAGAAAAAAAGCATTGGGGAGGTTGGCTCTATGGTTGGTAATAAGCTTACATTACCAGGGCTTTAAACCACACTTTAACCTCAGAGTAACAAGACAAAATCACCATCAAGCAAGGTACTTGCTGAGCATCAGAACCAAGGAAACTTAGTGGTTCCTGTAAGACATGCCTTACACTATGCTGATATTCATGATGATGAAGGTATGAGATCTGATGAAAGCTTTTCCCCCCCTTTTAGAGGTTTATAAAGGCTTACTCCCATGTGGATCCTGTTATGTTTAATCAGATATGAGGGCACTCCCCAGCCTTTCCCTTAGTAGAGTTACTTATAGGACTTTTCACTTCTTCCTATGGCCAATTTAAGGAAATAAACAGAAAAACATTATCTCTAAAGCCTCCATTCCTATTTGAAATCTGATTGAAATAGGCCGAGAAATTGCTAGGGAGCGATTTGCTCACATGCAGCATGACTGCATAAAACTGGTATCCAGGAAAAAACACAGTGAATTGATATTGTGTTGTAAAAATGCACTAGCTGTTCTGATTAAGATACCTGTCTTGTAAT